GCTGTGAGATGTTTCTCAGACTTCTGTATATGACAGGCTTTGAAGTAAAAGACTAAAAGAGATGTTGATGTTTGGGCTTTATCTCCTCCAGACTGTTGTTTCTGAGGGAGAGTGTTAAGATTGCTGTGAAAGCTAAATATTGGTAAAGAAAGATAAAAGAAGGATAGCTTGCTTTCCTCTAGATGATTCCATTGAACCAAATAGCTCAGCCTCTTTACCTGAGAAACATCATTTGATTGGAATTTAAGATTTTAATTAGAAGTTGTTTTGCTGAGGTACAGTTGTTTGGTTGTTTGGGTTTTTGTGTTCTCAAAGTCTTACACTAAAAATGACTAACAGGAAGAATTTCATCTCTTTTTAACTTATTTAAAAATTTTTCATCTGACTTTTTCCTACTTAAAAAAAAAACAAAACAAAACCACCTCTGATTTTTATGCTTGCTTCATAATTCCTTGATCCGTGCTCAGAATGTTCTGGGGTGTATTGTTAATGAAGTGAGACACTTTATTTCTCTTTCATTTTTGTTCAATGTATATTCTTTGTGACACAGTAACTAGATCATTTGACTGTTCCTGAATTTTAAAAGAAAACAGATTTTTGGTTTTCTAAGGAAATTAAGTTAAATGGTTACCTGCCTTTGTAATAATTTTGCCTGTAGGAACATGTTGACCAGTTAAGGCAAGATTTGATAAGAGAGGTGTTTGTGCCTAAGGCAATAAAGCTAACGGATGTTCCTGAGAAGAGCTGGGTGGGATAGATCAGTACTATCCCATAGTAAGGAAGAGGTTTTAGTTAAGAGCTCGGTTATCCTTTCATTTGGTCTCTTGCAGTCCATTCAGAATGTGTGTGGGGTAGGACTTGCAGCGCATCTTTACCTTCCCTTGGGAATGTAGGGAGAAGCTGGGGCTATTGTGGGAGACATGGTGTGGATGTGGTAAGAAAGAAGTTAAGGAAAGGGGAAGGTAGGGAAGGGGGAGGTAGAGGAACAACATGTCATAGCGTTAGAAGTCAGATTTGACTAGTTTGACAGCTCTATTATTATTATCATTATATTTATTTAAGGGTTCTAGAAGGGAAAGGAAAGAGGGAAGGGAAAGAGGGAAAGGAAAGAAGTCTTCCTTCTGTGTCACAATTAGGTTTTTGGAATAAGGTTGTCTGATTTCCGAGGTGGTTAAGGTAACGTAGGATTAGTGCCTAGTTAGTGCTTTAGCTGTAGGCATTTAACTTGGGTGCCAACAGAAATCTTAAGCTGCTTGTGTAGTATGAGAATGGAGGTGGTGATCACCTGGGTGGTGATTTCGTTGATGTGGTGAGATCTAAAGCTCAGTGGCTGGAATCTCCCTGTAAATAGCAGGGAAGTGTCAAGTGTACATAGCATCTCTCCTGTTCAGGTCCATTGTTAGTGAATTCCAGAACTTTGCAAGAACAGAAACAAGGCTGAGAGGGACAACTAATGACAGCTAATCAGCTGTCATGAAATGCCAACAAATGCCAACATTTGAAATAAGTTTTTAAATAAACCATATAAGTCTATGTATAGGAATTTAGATTGTTACATTGTTAAAATTATTGCATTGTTTTTATTGCATATTTTGAACCAGAATTCATCAGTCAGTACTTTTTGATTACTGTCCAAAAGTGTTGTTTTGTGGCAGTTGCCACGTATGAGTCACTTCATTCTAATACAATCAAGCTGTCTTTTTCTCTGGACTGAGTTGTGTGTTCCCAAAGGTAGGTACGCAAGAGAGTATCTATCCTTTGCGGTGAAACAAAAACACTGCTAGGATAGCATTGGCAGTGGTGAGGGTTTTGCTTGGGCACTAATAACTTTGACTTTTTGCTTTTCTGACCTATTTTTTCACCTCTTTGGAACTGGAGGGACGAATTTCACAAACATAGCCTGCTCCATTTTATGATATAGAGAAGTCCTAAATTGAAGGAATCTGTAGAGTATTAAGTTATCTGGTGTTTTGATTTAAAAAAAAAAAATCACTGCATTTGTAGGCATCTTATAGTGGCTTAACATTTCTGTCTCCAAATGAATTCTGAATATGAGCAAGTTTGTCGTAGCTGTAAAATTTAGCATTAGACATCTATGACAGTGGTCCTTTAAGCTTTTATTTTCTAAGAAATGTTAAATTTTAAGTTGTCTGTGGCAAGTACATGCAGATACGTGTAATATCTGATACTGCCCATTAGTAATAGAAATTATTCAAAGTATTTCAAAAGGCAAATATAGAAATTTCATGGCAAAACCAGTAATGAAAAATACTAGGCAAAGTAATCCATGTTTATCTAATTCTTTTCTGTGAACCTGTAAGGTAGCTTTAGTGAAAATAAATGTAAAATTACATTTGTACAAATGTAAAATGCCTTATTACTGGAAGGCTACTATTGGAAATCACAGATGATTTCATTCTCAGTTGTGAATTTGATGTTATTTTTCATTGTGAATGCTGACAATCGTATAATGATTCTTAGCGGAACTCAGCATTGCAAATTTGTTTAAGCATGAAAAATATTTTGGGAAAACATTAATGTAAAAATTGGTTACTTTAAAAACACAAAATACCTTACAAATGTGTACATCAAAGATAGTGATTTTAATGTTTGTTTTCTAGTGATTGTTAAACAATGTATGTATGAAGGTTTAGAAACCTAATGGAAGCATAATGCAAGTAGAATTTAATGTGACATACCTTGTCATTATATAGCACATTATATAGCAGACAGATAAAAAACAGTTTGTTTTTGGCAAAGGTAACTAAATTATTTATTAATCTTGTCTCTCCATTTTGATGAAGTTCAAATATGATTCGTCATTTCTTAAAACATAGTTATTAACTTGCAATCTTTTCCACTTAGTGTAAAAAATAATTTGTTATTTGTATTTCTAAATTATGTATCAGTTTTCAAGATGGCATTACTATGACTGTAAAAAGCATGCATTATTGTCCTGCCCAAACATGGGACTATGACAATGCATCTACTGGCATGCACTCTACACCTACTTATTTTTAACCTTTCATGATTAAATCTTGCATTCAGTGGTGTCTACATGGCTTAAAATTACTAGAGTTAGTAAGTGTTATGGCATTGTAACCTAGTACCAGAGGTTGGAAGTAGTAAAGCTGACAGTGTACTGATGTCTGATCAAACTTTTTTTTAACTAGTTTTAATTTACAGTGACTGAGATATTTATAGCATGTGGATGATGTGTAGGCCATTAATAGACACTCAAGATGGAAAATATTTTTCTTGCAATAATTGTTTTTATATGTGATATTAGTTAACACCTCTCATACTACATTAATAAGTTCAGGTACTTCTAATGGTTCAGATACTTCTAATTGGTTCTTCCAGATTTGAACTCTTGGGTATCTGTTGAGTGCCTCATTAAAACAACTGCAAGGAGTGTTCGCTGATACTTTTCTCCATAAGTTCTCATTGTTTTCCTCTCCCCTTGACTGAACCCAGAAGTATGTGTAATCTAGTGAAAAAGACGTTGTTTGGGGAGTTAAGGAGATTTGCATTGTTTGTGCTCCTTTGTATAGGGAGGATATATGTCAGCGTGCTAGGAAAAGATGGTGTAGATGTGCATAATCCAGTAATAGTGATCTAGAAAAACAATTTATACTTAATAGTAGATTTTGAACTCTTCTGTCTTCTTACACTTAGATTTCATCTTTAATCTCAACGTCTAATTTTAACACATATTAGAAGGGAAAAGAAAAATGTGTCATGAAATCAAGTTGTGGAAGGTAGTACACCTCAATTATGACTGTATTACTAAAAATGTATTAAATGTATGTTTATATATTGAATGGGCAAAGTATTGCTGTGAAATATCTGGACAATGACTTGGAATATGGTTTCATGTGGTTGTAGTGTTCTCATGATTTTGTTATGAAGTTTGTCTTAAACACACTACACACAGCTGCAAACTTGGACTCGGAATATGAGAATATTCCAGTTTGTAGATCTTCATTTGTCCATGGGGGGGGGGAAGAGGGGGAGTAATTTTTGCAGGTATTTAAGGCTCCTACTGTCTTACAGTTTTTCAGGCATTGTCCTAAGGAAATGTGAAAGAGAATCTCAATGATAATTGAAATGTTGCTCTAAGAAGGCACAAAATAGATGAGTGTTTTCCATTCATTTAGCCTTGAAGTTCCATTCTAGTACAGAATTGACTCTTGCTTTAAAGCAGATTTTTTTTTTTTGGAAACAGTATTTTTTTTAACTTGAGCAGATCAAAATCTTATGTAAAGAGGTACATATCTGTTGAAGTGGCAGCTCTATTTTCAGTATAAATACTTTTAACTGTATATAAAAATACCAGACAGTCTTACTATGAAACTATGAAATCCCCTTCAAAGAAGACCCTGAGAGAATCATGATACCATTACTTTCTTCAGAATTTCATTTATAGTCCAACTAATTACAGCTGTTTTAAGATTTTTTGTCTGCTATTTTTTTTCACCTTTTGAGAGGTATTAAATTGCTATGTATTAAAAAAAAAAAAAAAAAAAAAGTCATAGAATCATAGAATATCCTGAGTTGGAAGGGACCCTTAAGGATCATCAAGTCCAACTCTTGACACCGCACAGGTCTACCCAAAAGTTCAGACCATGTGACTAAGTGCACAGTCCAATCTCTTCTTAAATTCAGTCAGGCTCGGTGCAGTGACCACTTCCCTGGGGAGCCTGTTCCAGTGTGCAACCACCCTCTCTGTGAAAAGTTTAAGAAATCATAAGCTAGACAGTGCTGTGGATTTCAAATAATAACAAAAGTATTTATATTTACCTTTTGGCTAGTTTTGTGTATTTATATCCAGAATCTAAAGGTGTTTCTCTATCATCTGTTATTGTAGTTGTCTCACAGTGGTTCTGTAGTTAGTGCTTTAAATGATACCCTGTTTTTGTTGAAGTTCTGAGTAATTAATAAATAGCAAAAGCATTCCATGTTACTTTGTATTGAATTCTAAATGTATTTTCTTCCAGAGAACTAGAGGACGAAAACGAAGCTTTGTGCCCGAGGAAGAAAAACCTGAGGTTGGAATATAGTGTTGTTTTTTTTTGTTTGTTTGTTTTGTTTTGTTTAAACACTTTCACAAAAAAAATAAATTAAACTTTGGGTAGAAGTGTTACTTTCAGTACTATAATTGAAAATATTTGCTTTCCTTCCCTCCTTTCCCCCCATTCCTTTCTTTTGCCTTCTGCTGTGGCAGGAACGGATTCCCAGAGAAAGACGACAACGGCAGTCTGTTCTGCAAAAGAAGCCCAAGTCAGAGGATTTAAGGACTGAATGTGCTACGTGCAAAGGGACTGGAGACAATGAAAATCTAGTCAGGTAGGTTTGATGATCTGACCCTATGAGGGATTAAAGTTCCATCTTCATCAATTTGTCATCATATTTATAACGAAGCAAATATGTTTATAAAAAAGTATTTAGGGAAACATTAGTTCAGAAACATTAACTCAATTCACTTATTGACCTGCCAAACATATTTACACTGTGGATTAAGATGTAAATAACCAAGGTAATCTGTTTTTCTAACACAAAAGAATTAATTTTCTCTTGTCAGGGTGAATTGTCAATGTTTTATAGTAGGTCAGAAAGATAAACCAGCAATTTAATGACATTAAAACTACAGGACCATCCTAAAAGTAATTAAATTAGTATCATCAACAATTTTATGAGCTGAAGTGTGGATTATGAGTAATTTATGCTTTTAAAAATGTGTTAATGCTACCTCTATTAATACAGATCATAAAAGGGTTTGCTAATCATATTTCTTATCTGAAACAGAGGTGGAAAAAAAACTTTGAATGGTGTCTTAGTAGGTGTAGAAATCTAATTAAAGCGTAGAATAGCTGCTATTGAATAGCTACCGTTGACCACAACTTTTGCTGTTTTTTACTTTATATCTGGCATTCTGGCCTCTTTGTGAAGCTGTATAAACTGCTCAGAGTTCTAGAAAGAAGAATAATGGAGCTTAGCAACCAGAAAGCTGATTCTAATTGAATCTACTGAACATCCATTAAAATGATCTCATAATAAATTTAGATTAAAAATAGCATTTGTCTTTAGGCCCTGTATGCTTCAGTTAGATTTTTATGGAAAAGATCTCTTTAGTGCAGATATAATTGTTGTTTTAACTAGAAGGGTTATCCAAAATACATGTTTTCATTTCTTCCAAGGAATCAGTTATGGCAAAAGTCAGAATCAATGATATATGCAGGCTAAACGTAGCTTTAGAATTAGGATGTACCCCAGATACGGGTATTTTGTGCTCAGAACAGCTTATTTTATGTATCAATTACAGCGTATCATGTACCATAGAAGCTGATACAATTTCACAGGTTGTGTGCCAGATTGTGGTTTTTTTTTTTTTTTTTTTTTTTTTTTTATTCCCCAATTGAAGGCAGGGTATTGCTAGGACCTCATCAGTAACTTATACATGGACAACCTACTACTGCTCAGTAGGACTCCTAGTCCCTGGCCAGGACCAGACTGAAATAGAGTTGCCAAGTATTAAGTGATTATTAACACAGTAACCCTGATGGCAATTGATGACAACAGTTTTTAACTGCCCATGACAAGAAAAAGGGCTTTCTTCAGCCTTACTCTCAGAACAGTTGGCAAGAAATAAAAGGTGAAAGAAGGCTATTTTGTTGTGGGAAGGAATCCGGGGAACACGTACTGTGCCTTAATGTAAAAAGCGCTGTGAATTAGTTTTCTTCTTCAGGCTTTTTCTGTAAGTGCTGAAAACCAGATTTGAGTATATAAAGAAGATGGGGAAATGGTTTTCCCAACTGGATATTTAGGTTGAAATTAAAAGTATGACAGAACATAAGTGGTACGTCTTGTTGGCTACATGAAGAGATTTTAGTAATGCATGTAATTCAGACAGACAAAAAAGAAGCATATTGCATGCCAGGACCCAACAAATTCTATCTTAAACAATCCTCATAATTAGTCTTGGAAGCAAATTAGTCATCCTGTATGGGAGGAAAAAAAGGATTCATATGCTCTAATCCTTTGCTTTTGATTCTCTGAAAAATATTTTCCAAGGTCTTTTATTATTTTCTTAGTTTTAAAACAAGATTATCAATTAAAAAAATGTTTTTCTTCACATAATTCATATACAAAGCAACAGCTTTATCCAAGCTAGGTGACCACAGTGTTTAAAGTCTTATGGAAGCAGATTTTATGTGTACATTTATGATTCTAAACTATTTAGGATGTTGTGGGGGGTGTAACTAACTATTTCTTTTGATGAAAGTAAATTTGCTGACTTTAATAATGTGCTAGCTATGTAGGCTTTCTGCTATGTAGCCAAAATTGTGGAGGAGTGTGATCCATGTTGTTAGTATGTCAGGGAAAGTTTACAGAATCCATTTTTCTCTTACACTATCACAAAGGAAGAGAAACCACCTTTCTCACACCTGTACCATCATACAGAACTCCTCAGTAATAGCACAAACAGTGTGTTATTTTAAATGGAAGTTTAAAGGGAAGAGATATTTAGGAGGGGAAAGAAACTTTTTTTCTTTTTTTTTTCCAGATCAGTTTTGTTTGGCACTGATCCGTTTGTTATTAAAGCCAAATGTTTCTCAGAAAACAATTAATTAATAATTTTTCGTCGTCTTTACACTTCATTCAACATATATTTTGCAATTCCTGGATTTTATTTTTTATTTTCCCGTGTTCCTGCCACTAAGGGAGGTTTGGGGGGATGTTATAGAAGTTTTTTTTTTTGAATGTGAAAATTGAACACTAATGTACCACTGCTGAAAATGTACCACTGCTGAAGCTGCAGATTTGAGGAATAATCTTGATGGTGGGCCCTTCTAGCTTTTCTTGATGTGTGTTACCTGAGATGGGGCTGGTTGTATGACTCTTGAAAAATCAGTTTTTCAGAAATGTGGTTTTCTAAAAATTTACATGCATGTCTCACTTGGGTTGCTAACTGAGCAAGTACTAGAGGAAAATAAGCAATTACCTCTCTTATTTCAAAGATTGCAGTACTGCACACTCCCCATCTTCCCACTGTCCAAAACACAAATTGCTTTGTTTGTCACACATGGAGGTTTGTGAGGTAATTCAAAACTGCAGCCTCTTACTATTAAGCCTTTTGCACTTTGTGTTCAAGACTTTATAAAAGAAGAACCTGTTTAAAATTAAGTGGTGTCTGAACAATAAGACACTTACTGGCTACTAATATGCTAGCACAGTCTTTCATCAGCTACAGTTCAGTGAGGTTTCCTGGTAAATTACTGAATAAATTTCTTGAACAAAGATGAGTATTTAGTAATCTGGAATACGAAATATTAAATTGTTCAACCAGTTATTACTGTTTGACTAATGGAAATTCATTTTTTTTGATCCCAATTTCCCATTTTATCTGCAGCAGTGAATAGCTGAAGGATTGTTTCTTATCTATGTCTTTATTTAACCTGTTTTTCGTATGCATGCAAATCTTTAAATAATTGCCTACAAAGTGCTTTAAAATTACTCCTAAAAAGGCAAGTTTCATTTTGATAAACTATAATAGTGCATTAATTAGCTGAAGTTTGCCTAAGTTATAGTTTTGTGTGGAAAAAAGTAATTAATGTTAGACTATCCATATTTATTAGCTTTTTAAAACTGTATTGATACATGTCAATGTGTCAGTACTTCTATGTCTGTTAATAGTTGCCATATAGTTTATAGAAATACCAAGACTGTTCTTTAATCGCTGGTGTCAGTTTTTATATATAGATGGCTTCAGTACAGCAGCATCCACTATACCTGATTGTAAAGATATCATGGCTTTGTCTGCAAAGCAAGTGGATGAGCTTTGTAATCCTTCTGTAACATTTTTTAAAAATTTAGAATATATTGATTATATAATTTATTTAACAAAAACATGTGTTTTTTATTGAATGAGTTACTTGCGTAATTTTTACCTTTTACAAGATCAGTGGAACAGTCAAGATTTACAAGGTTAGCTGGACAGTGAAAAGTTGTTTAAAAACATTCACTTCAGTAAGAGGAAGTCTAATCTGTAACATAATAAATGACAGTACCGAAACCATGTTATTGATTAGATGTGTGAATTTTGAATAATCTTTTACTCAAATGAAATTAATTTTGAGAAGAAGAGTAGTAAGATACAGGGGTTTAAAAATACTTTATATGTGATACAGATAGATTTGTTGCAAGGCATGGAGACATGGCACTTTTACAAGGAGGTAAGAATTCGGTAAAAGAAGTTACAGGGGACACTTAAAACTAAAGCACTGAGAAATCAGAGACTAGTTGTAACAGTATACTGCTCAATTTCCTGAATGCTTTATTACAGTCACTGAATGATAGATCTTGCAAAGGAGTTGTTTAATTCTTAAGTATCTCTTTTTTTTTTATTATTATTATTAATGAAGTTAATAACTCAGTAATGTAAAAAAACTTTATCATACTGTCCAAGAGCTCCCTTGAGAATTTAACCATGTTTGGTAGAAACGGGGATAAGATGAAGTATGTTTAAAATGGTTGAGTATGCTTGCCTTCCATTTTTCACCGTTCTCCAGAGTGAGAAAGTAATTGTACCACAGTATGCACAAAGTGCTTCTAGCATAGTATTGCTGTCTATTTTGTTTCTGTAAAAGAACAACATTAAGATGATTTGTGTATTTTATTTTAATACATAGAATATAAAATTACTTTAATACATAGAATATAAAAGAGTCCACAAAACAATCTAAGTTTAAATCTTTCAAGGGAAGACTTTTAAATGACTTCACTTCTAAAGAAGTGACCTCCTCTCAAAAAATAATGCAGCATTTAACTGCTACTATTTAAGAAAAAAATACCATAGCTTCAATTGTTGGTTTTAGATACGCTTTGGGTAATATTTGGGAATATCGTGCATTAGATAAAATTGATATCTAAACACTAGATTTGAGAAAAGTAGAATAACATTAGAACACTTATGTATGAGGTAAAATCATGAAGTTGCATTGGCTAGTTTAAAGAAATAATCTGAAAAAGTGTTAGATATCTTTATCCCACAATTTAGAGCAAGTGTATAATATGTGTTTTTAGTTTTGTGGTTTTGACTTATACTTTACTGTCAGTAGAGTCTAGTTTGTTTTTTTTTTTTGTTTTGTTTTGTTTTTTTGGCAGTAGTTAGATTTTATCATTTGCTTTGATTTGCAAGAACTGAGGCAAAGTTATAACTAGAGTGTTACAGGGAAGGTAATACAGTCTAAGGTTGTGTTTGAATGAATATGGAATAGATGTTCAAAAAAAACCACACACATTTAAATGCTGGTTATTGTATTCAAAGAAGTGTAAAACTGTCAGGC